CACCAGCATTAGTGAAAGTAGTTGTGAATTACAGCACTTCAGATTTACAAGAAACCTTAAAGGTTTCTAAGAATGAATTCCTATCTACGGAAGGCTATCATCATCATATGGTCTTCCCTTAAAAATAAACTAGACTCAGCTGGGGGTTGTGGTGTTTGCCTATAATCCCAGCACCCAGGAGGCTGAGGCAGGGAGGAGAGCAAATTCAAAGCCAGCCTGAACTACACAGCAAGGCCCTGTTTCAAAAAACAAACACCCCACCCCTACCCCAACTCAAAATTAGATACAACAATTACTTTTTCAGAAAAATTTCAACCTTCGGAATGTTTGAAATTCCAAAATAAGTGTTTTAAATAGTAATCATACATTAATAAAGATCTCAAGAGGAAACAAGAAAAACATAGCTAATAACAGAAAAAGGCATATAAAACTTGTCTGTCAGAATATAAATTCATTTTCAATACACAATGAATGCATCAAGTTACAAAAATGTACCAAGCACTAGGTATATATACCTAGAATATAAAGTCCTCATACTTGTGTACAATACAAAAATGTCAATGAAAAGAAATAAATTACACTTAAAAGAACATTATTAAATCACAAAGGTGGTGCTCTTCAAAAGAAGTTAGTGAACGACTAAGGGCTAAGGACTAAGAATGATTTCAATTATTTAGTGTATTGGTAAACAAAATTCTCCCCTCAGGAGGCAGAACACAGAGTTTTAAGAGCAAGTTTCAGGGACATAATATTCCAAGATCTTAAAGTACATCTTGGTCTTCCCACATGAAATGGTACATCGTCACCAAAAGTAAAAACATGACAAGACTGATGAGACCACATTTCTTCTGGCACTTGATCATACTGTCCATATTCTAAGGGGTGTGAATAACTTATCAGATTGCCAGTGAGATGGAAGTCTGAGAGATAAATGTGGTCCAGAGAATATTATCTACTTGTCTATAAATTCTCAAAGTGTAAAGAAATTTAATCTTTTAAAAATAATCCCTAAAAGGTTGTTCTGAGTATGAATCATTATTTAATGATGCCAACACCTTGACATATTAAATATGGAAACAGCCAAAGCTCTATAATTCACTAAGGGAAAAAGACCTAAAAGAGATTCCAATCAATTACATTATTTACGAAGATGAAACTGTCACAGACGCTAATAATTATTTTAAAGAATGGAAGTAGCCATGCAAAGTCAACTGCTCAAAGTGCTTTCAATGAAGCACTGGCACTTTTCAAATTCTAGAAAAGTCTGCTATTTTTTCTTTGAATATTTCCTCTTCTTCATTCCCTCCTTTTTCTCTACCTACGGGTTACTTTCATTTTATACTTCACATCTCAATTTCTCTTCTACATTTTGTACTGCTTTATCTCCATGTGCAAACTAACTTCTTTATTTATTTATTTTTTTTCAGGCACTGGGGTTTGAACTCATGCTTGATAGGTAGGCCCTCTACTATTTGAGCCACTCCACTAGCTACAAACTAGCTTCTTTAGGTTGTTCTCCAGTTCACCAATTCTTTGTTCAGTCCTGTCTAATCACACTTTCATCCAACCTTGATTTCTTTATTTCTTAATTTTAGAGACAATATTTTTTACTACCAGTAGTTTTATTTGTCCTTTTCAAAACTGCTGGGTCTTTTTTTGGACAATGTCTATCTTTCTCTCATCTTTAGTTTCTGCGCTTACATTTCATCATTTCAAATTTACATTTTTGTGTATTTAGATTCCAACTGATGTTAAGTTCTTAGAGGTCTAGCCCTGTTCCTTGTTTTGTCTAACTTCCACTCCTAAAAGAACGCTTCCATGTATATTATTATGTTTGGGATTGTGAGCTCTTGGTAAATGTGACTTTACCTTGGCTTGGGTTACAGACTATGCCCTGCCAGAATGGCTTCTACCAGGTAACTAAAGGGGATTATCAGTCCAAAACTATTCTCCCTGTACCTATGGGTTTTCACAAGACGTGAGTACTATAAATTTGAACCCCAATGGCTCATGAGAATAGGCTCATCAGAGAAAATTTTCAAAGGGATAGGCATTTTTATTCCACATATATCCAAGTCAAACAAATAAATGTGTCTGTCACCATATCACCCATATACTGATTTATATCTCCAAGCCAAACTTTGCTCCAGAACTTCAACTCCTGTAACCTATAACTCAAATTTTACCACATCCCAACCTGAACCTAACTGATTTTCCTTCCTCCCTTGCTACTCCTTCACCCACCACTAAAAACATAACCGTTCCCTATTTCAGCAGCTTCTGATTTCCAGCTCAGCCTAATGGTGCTTGTGGTATCAAGTTCCACTCAGCAATCTCGTTACTGACACCCAGTGATCCCCCTTTCCTGCATTTCAGCCTTACATTTAAAGAATTTCTTGTATATTATATCCAGTAGCGATAAGAAGCCTTACCCCAACTGCTTAGTTGGTCACATTGATTAAAAGTCCTCAGTATTTGCTTTTCAAATGTAAACAGGTGAAGAGGTTACATAAGTTCCCTACAATTAGCTCTTCATACCAGAGTATTAGGGCCTGTTCCATTCAGTGTGATGTACTAACAGGGCTCAGGGATGTATACAGAAACCACATCCTATTAAGTAACCAGGAGTATGGATTTATCTTGGCTTTAGGATAAAGACCCTCAGAGACTGAAAATCTGCACATTAGTATTAAGAATCCTTCTTCTAACCTATTTTATCTCACACCCATTATGTCCTCAATACAGCCACAACAACCTGCTTTTGCCAAAATATGTCTTTTTACATCCTCCTTCTAAGACTTTCTTCATACTCTTTATTTTACCTGGAATGTCCTTCTTTCTCACCTTCTGTTTTTTGTTTTTTTTTTAAGCCCATTTATTCGACAAGGACCAGCTCAAATAACAGAAAAGGGAACCATGTTAACACATTCAGACACACTTCCCACAAAGGAAAAGAACTAAGTAACGTTTACAATTAGAGGTGAACATCCAGGACCTGTCATAGTCACCTAGATGGCCTCACTGTGCCATACCTCCTAACCTCCATACTGGCCCAATCCATAGAAATGTCTGCTGTGAGGTCTATCCAGTAATCTATCTTCTTGCCTTTCCTAGCTCCCCAGCCTTTTCCCAAACTTCCAAGCTCATTTGCCTGGGTTCTCAAGTAAATACTTACCAGCTCCCTTTCTGATCTCCACATTTGTCCTCACTGGCAAAAGTGAGACCATGAATGGCTAGACCTCCTGGAATCACATACTCTCTAGATGCTACAAACATTGGACTGGACCCTCAACACCTGCATCTGCCTGAGTGACATCTGTGTCCACTGAATCACATGTAGACACCTGGAGGTCCCTATCAGGGCTAGCACTTGCTCTTACCTCCTCTCTTTCTTTTTGTAACATTTGTTTCACCAGCCCACCACGTAAAGCACAACAACAGCTGTGCAAAGCACGTGGCCATCTATAGTTTCTCCATATTTCTAACAATTCCTAACAGAGACTGAAGATTCATCTTCTTTCTTCCATGAGAAGTTTACCATGGTACCATGGTAAAGCAGAGGGAAAGTCGGCTACATTAGCATGCTAAAAGATGCTGTCCTGTGGACAATACCTGCAGGGGTGACTCCACTACCACACAAGGTAATGACCAAAGGAAAAACAGCTGCCAGAAAACAGAAAGTCTTTTTCCCAGTTTCCTGCACAGTAATTGTTCTTTTGCCCTTCTGTTTGATGAGCACTATAGCACACTCACTTTTTTGGCCCTCATTGTCTTATTTTCCAAGCACCACATTTGGCACTTCAATTTGGTGCAATGGTTGCTGCACACAGTGGATTAATATAGCTTTAGAGACGGTATTATATCAAATATTCTCTTAGATGGGATCACAAGTTGCGCCACCACAACCAGTCCATATTTTTTTCTTATCAGTATAAAGGTTAAGCATCTTTTTTCTATATTTATGAGTCATTTGAATTTTTTCTATCAACCCTCTATTCTTATAACTTGTCAATTTTCCTATTGAGTTAATACTCTTATTCTCTATTTTTTGGTAATATTAAAACTCTGCAATACAAACTTCTTTTTCTTTTTTTTGGCGCCAGTAGTGTGATCTCCAGGCCTCATGCTTGCTGGGCAGGTGCTCTACCACTTGAGCTATCTACCCCTAAACTGTAAATACTCTTTTTTCCAAGTTTTTATTTACTTTTATTATTTGACTTACCATGTTTTCAGCTAAACAAAAGTTGTTTTTATCATCAAATTGAACACTACTTATTCCCCTTTTGTATCTAGTCTAAATTATACTCAGGCTATTCCTAGTACTTAGTCTATGTTTACATTTTTACACAGTGTTTGATTCATATGTAACTGATCCTTGTCATAAAACAAACAATAAAACCAATACTGTCCCCTTTTTTATACACTAAATCTCCATGTGTTTTACTGCCATATTTTCTATTCAGTTCCATGTGTCTACTTGTTAAGACCAATCACAGATTTAATTACAGAAGCTTATGTTTTGGTAACTAGTAAGCTATGACTCTCTTCCACAGCTTTTCTTTTGATGGTTTTTCTTATTATTTTACGTATTTCCTTATTTCTTTAATACTTATTTGTTCTTTTCAATGAAATTTACAATCAACTCACCTACCTCTAGGAAAACACCTATGCAATCATGATAACATTATAAATTAAGGACACTGATAAAATTATGACACTGAAACTAGAAGCTAGGAATAAAAACTAAAAGTTGGAGGGAAAAGCATTAAAATGTTTTGTTATTCTGTGCTTATAAAAAGACACAGACTGAACCTACAAAACTTTGCTGTTAATTAACATAGGAAAACTTATATATATATATAAATTTATATTAACTAGCAAAGAAACACAATTTACTTCATTTATATCATGAATTGTGTAATACAGCTGATTAGGGAAAAAAAAAAACCAAAATGATCAAATAATAAAGCATGACAGACATTAGTAACAGTCTTGCTTACCTTCTTTCTTCAACCATTTCACAATATTCCCTTGCTCCATTGTAGGAGACAATGATGGCATAAGTATCTTAATTGGATCACCTAAAATGGAAAATAGAAAGATTTGCCACAAAATAGGAACCTCAGGAGGCATCAGTAAGTATAGGTAAATTAGTATCAAATTATATTTAAGAAATAGGTATTTCAAGGTCAACAAATCCCAAATAGTAAACTAAGTGTCTAGTAAATACTATGAAAACAAAGTTTCCAACTTTGTTTTTAATAAAACTCTTTTAGGAAATACTTTTAGCTCTTTTTCATGGTTTCCCAGCTTTCCATGCATTAGTTTCAAGGCAGTTGCTTGCTAGTCTAGAAAACAAAGAAAGAAAAAAATTTTTGATTTAGGTTTCATCTCTTCCTTTCTGTTCTATCTCTGCAAAAAAGAAGTGTGTGTGTGTGTGTGTGTGTATAAAGATACATGTATATATATTTACAGGTAAAATGACCAGAACACAAAAAACAACCAATATAGGGTTTTGGGGACCTACAGAATAACCAACAGATTTTAAGAAATTGGTTGCTTTTATCTTCCTTTTTAAAAAACATTTTTACTAGTGTATGATAGTTACACAGGGAGTTTCGTTGTGACATTTCCATATACATGTATTATTCCTTGGTTTGGTTCATTTCCTCCATTATTTTTCCTCTTACCCCATTTCCCTTCTTAATATGACTTCAACAGGTTTCAGTGTTCCATATTTGTACATGCATAGAAAGTACATCAAACCACATTCACCCTCCTTTACCCTCTTCATTTACTCTCCCCTTCCTACTAGTGCCCTCACCTTAACATGAGCAGATTTACATTCCTGTCCTTCATTGTTTGTCTGTCATTGTTTACTGGGGATTTTGCCTTGGTATTTTACCTGTAAATATACTGTGCTTAAATTAGTCTAACCCCCTTCACTACTCTTCCTCTAATGTTATACTGTTCAATATCACAGGTTCCTGCTAGTAAGTGGGAACAGGAAAGCATGCCTTGTCAAGGATGATCGATCAGGCAGAGAACCCAAGAGAGTAAGCTGATTTCAGATTTTGTTCCCTGCAGTCCAGTGGCAATGCAAAAAGACAGGCCTCATCTTGAAAGACTTTGCACTTTCACTGAAACATAACTGGTTTTTCCATAGACATCCAAAAAGGACACACTACATATTTGTCCAGCTGCCCTTTCTAATAGTCATTCGCTGTCCAGGACCACACTTGAAGAGCACAAAGCTTTTAGATTACAATTCATATAAAGTTTATACTAGTAAGATACCATATAAACAAATTACATTCCCAGAAGTCTTTAAAATGATAGTCTTTCTTCAGATTATCCAACTCTCAAGACCCAAACAAGCAAAACACTGCAACGTAGCTAACGTATTTCAAATGTGGAAGAGACAGAATGGCATTTCTTTTTTTCTCCACTAATGTTTTAGGGCTAAAAGCAAGGGATTTAACACTAATGTCAAGTAAGGACAAATATTTCCTTTGCAAAATTTAACTAATTTTACTATTATTTTATACAGAATTCTTGTGGCTTCATGTTAAAAGTGCATCCATTCCTTTCAAGTACATGTAGTCAAAAGAAAAGCTACTGTCTGCTCTCAACTTTTCTTTCACCTCTCTAAAGGCCCAGGGAGAAACACCTATAGCCTTGTTCTTATTTTCTTTGAAGAATTTCCTGTCTATAGGAAATGCATGTTTTCCTCTCAACTCTCCCAAGTGCTGGCCATCAACAAACCTGCCTTTGAAAGGCAGATCCACAGACCCATCTCTTTCTGTGCTCCTCATTAAGGCCCACTGGGCATGAGATAGCAATTCACATATTGTGTTAGTTTGTATACACAAAATCTCACTTTTGACTCAAGACTTTCAAGCTCAAAGTCTAAATATGGGGTTACACTTGGAAGTTCAACTATAGAAGGCCACAGATCTCCAATCCAATCTTACCATCAGCATTTAGACTCCATCCAGCCATTTGATCTCCATTCACCTGACTCTTTTCTTCTGTCTCAATTGGTACCAAATTCTAAGAAAGCTAGAAAAGTAGAAATATCACTCCTAATGGCCCAACAATGATAGGGCCCAAACTAAACTCTAAGTCAACAATCCTATTTCATCAATAAGAAGACTACTATTCGAATTAAAGAATTTGAATCTGCCTGCCTAACTCTCAAGGCTTCCTTTATTATACTGGTCCACTTTGTGTCTCAATGTTCCTTAAGTACGGATCATCATTTATTCATTGGTTATTTGTAATCTATTTATCCAAAAGTTCAAACCCAGCAAACTAGACATATCAATTCCACGTGAGCACCCCTCATACATTCTAAGAAATACCCTAATAAACCCTTTCCCTACCATGGGCAGACAGAATTGCACCATTAAGAAACCACCTTTACAACTGGCAGTGAGTTTTTCAAATGTAGAAGAGAGCAGCTAATCTTTAAGCATCTGATACATCAGAACTATGGGAAGAGAAATAGTTATAAGGGGTCCCCTAACTCCTAATTTACTACTAAAACACAGTTATTTTGAAGAAACTGGAGAATATACCCATTCAACTTCTATTCACTATGACTTTGACTTTCAGTAACTACCATCACAACAGTTTCATTTAATTCCCAAACTACCTTTACTTGAACTACAACTTATAACTAGAATATAGCTTTAAAAATCTTTGTGTTTTTCCTTACTAAAATAAATCCCTGTGAACTAAAACAGGTATAGTAAGATTAATTAATAGAAAATAATGCTTAAGCTGGGGTGTAGCTCAATGGCAGAGCACTTATCTAGCATGTGTGAAGCTCTGGGTTTGATCCAGAGGGAGGGAGTGAGAGAGAGGAGAAAAGGATAGAAGGAGGGAAGGAGGGATGAAGGAAGGAAAGCAAATGTCTATGTAAAACCTCAATACACTAATATCTATAAAATACTGAAATAATTCTAGTTCTTGAATGAACTAGAATTAGGGAAGTCCACTTAGGGAAGCGCACACACACACACACACACACACACACACACACACACACATACACACAGAGATTACATTAGTGATGTAAATCCAAACCATAACAGTCCTATACTTGCAACTGTCAAGAAATATTAAAGTGCTCAAAATATACTACACACATTTTAATATAGTAAAATAAGCTTTCTAATCACCTAGATTATGCTGTGTGTCTATATGACTTGATAAAAAAAATGAAAACATTTTCCAAAAGAATATATAGCCATCATTTTTAAGCTCATAATGTCAAATGTGCTTTTGTTTTAAAAAACAAACACAAAAAGAGGCAAAAACATCATGATAAAAAGCCAGCCCCTTCCTGAAAAGCATAGCTTAAAAAAACAAAAACAAAAAACCAACTCCTGATATGTTGCTTCTATCAGAGTTCAAGCCTGACATTATGAGAGAGAATATTTTATAATCATATACATTTTAAATCAATCTATCAAACAGAGTTCCACTTCAAAGAAGCAAAATAAATGGACCACATTACTTCTACATCCAGATTCCAATTTAGGACAAATACTAAATCAATTCTCTCTAAACAGTCTCTCTTCAATATTTTTATACTTTGGTTCAGTTGCCATGAAACAATTCACATTTATTTTATGATTCTAGCTCCTATTATAATCTTTCACCTAAGAGACCTTCACATTTCCATTAATCTTGACATTAAGGACTATATTATGAAACTTCTGTGTTTATTATTATTTTCTAAAGCACAACATCAAGAGTCCTAGAAATTTTCATATTTAAAAAAATAAAAAGAAAAACATAATTTCCTCATACAGTCACCCTTCATGGATGAACTGAAATTGCTTCTCTGAATAATGAGAATAATTCAGATATATAAATATCCTATAATAGATCATCATCCTTACTCTGAATTGAAGGTGACAAAACCTGAAGAAAGATATTTTGGATATCTCCATTTTTCAATACTATCTCTTGATGGATTTTACTGGCTTATTACCCAATCTATCCTCAGACTAGAAATCTATCCTCATGCTAGAAAAACCATGTCAAAACATAAATATTAATTAATAAGGAGAACATATATTATTCTAGTATATCCTTGTTGTACTAAAACATTCCATACATCTTTTCCCAATGTATTTTTCTGATGGGAAAGTAATTATATAATCACATTACAGGCTTTGGGTTGTCAGGGTTGCACACAATTAAAATCCACCCTTTATGGCCGCTGTCAGTTCTATTAAGATAGTGTGGGGTTTTCTAGACTGTCTGGAATGTGATTAACCTACACTTATATTATTTAATTTTCATTAGAAATTAATTATAGCCTTCCATTTCTTTCTAGTAAGCAGTACATTCCACAACTCTCTGTCAAACTGAAAAGACCTTGACATGTGCACCAATTATATTTCCTACTGCTATCAACTGGCACAACTATAGGTAAGAATAAAAAAAATGTAAGAATGAAGGAAGTGAAGTTTTTGCTCAACTGGATATATAGATTATTTCAACTAATACTCAAAATTTAGTTAGAATTTAACCCTTTTATAGTAATTTACTGTCTTGTTACCTTTTTTAAAGCTAGCAAATGATGGCTAATTGACTTATAAAGTCTGTTATCTTATAGCAGTTACAAGAATATTTTAAAATGTTAAGATATTTATGGTAACATTATTTCTGGTGGTTTACATTTGAGCATAATAATTTTAAAAGTAAAACACTTGCAAATCATTAGAACTGTCTTAATCACTTTTTGCCTCAATAGGATGACACAATAAATTACAACTGTCTAGTATACCAGTCACATGAGCAATCTATCAATTAAAAATTACTGAATTTTAATTTCTGTATTTCTTCAGTCTGCTCTTTCCAATTTTTCTACAGCATAATTTGGATTTTAATTTTAAACAAGGTAATGCTAATTTCTTGCTTGCCAAAGTATTTTTTTCCTAAGAACAAAACACTCATATTTCAACAAAATCAGTTATAGATTGTTTCAAATTTAGATATATACATGAACTCTAAAAGGCAATTGGATTCAGAAATTAATATAAGCAAACTCTTAAAATACAAA